AAAAAAAAAAAAAAAAAAAAAAAAAAAAGAAAAAAGAAACAAGAAAAAGTTCTTCAAGATCTCTCCAAACCATAACATCAACATCTTGCTCATTTTCTTCAGAAAGGAACAAAAAAGACATATTACTCATCTAAGAAAAAGCCAACCAGAAAGTAACTTCAATGAACATAAGGGTGTATACTGTAATAGCAAACCCTACATGGTAGCTCCATTTTCTCCATTTCCTCCTTGATGAGGTTGTAGATCAAAATCGTATTCTCACCCAAATCGGCACAGAGTACCAACACCTCCAAGTACTTAACCCACCCAACTGGAATTAAAGCCACATCCTTACCTGTAGATTCGAATTGGCTCCTGTGTTCCTCCAATGAAAAATCCCCCGTCATTCTCCAAGCAAACATGCGCGGATCCATCTCCCAAACTTCCCAATAAAGCTCCCCACACTCACGCAATAAAGATAAACGCTTTCCAGTGGACAAGTAAGTATTCTTAACTTCCCCACTCAGGCCAATGGAGTAATCAGGCCCAGAGCTCTCCGTGAATTCCTCTGTCTCCAAATTCATAGTCAACAACCTGTCGTCATGCAAGACCCAATGCATAAACCCAGCAGTAATCAAAACGGGTTTATACTTAAAAACCCTAGGCTCGGCCTGCACGACTCTCCACGACTCATCTTCTTCTCCAATGGTTAACACGTGAAACTCGTCCACCTTTACGCCTGTATATGGATCGGGAGGAATGTAGACCACCACTTTCAAATCCATGGATTCCCGAGCACATGATACTCCCCATGAATACATAGGTGTCGCTTTAGAACGAGTGACGAGTGAAGGGAGATTAAGAACTACCTCTGACGAGTGATGTGAGAGGATGAGCTCACTATAATTCCCTCCTTCTGCAAATGCTAAACAGAGTTCCGAACAATCGGTCACGGCCACGCTCGTTTTTTGTTGCCTCAACTTGGTTATCTCGACCCGGCCGTCTCGGGTGCCCATCGAGAATACGGCCCGGTATTTGTTGAAGAGAAGGGCGTAAGTGTTGTGGCTATGGGTCACTTGGTACCACCTGCGGCAAACAAGCCTTGCCTTGTATATATCGTGGACCGGGACACGGTCAAAGATGTTGGACAGCAAGTCATCTGATAGAATCCCATTGATATTTTTTTCACCATTCATCTGCACATTTAGTGTAAGGAGAAGTTCAGCAACATAAGATAAGATTTTGGTAAAAAAATAAAAATCTGTATCTGTCCACAAAGAAATTATAATCTTTGAGCAAAACTAGATGACAATATGGAAGAATAATCTTTGAGCAACTTCAGTAATATAAATGAGATTTTGCAAACTCTTTTTCTGTATCTGTCCACAAGACATTCTAATCCCTATTCTCAGTTGGTCACATTCAGAGGTTGAATTTAACTCGCGCCACAAAAACCAATTGACAATATGGAATCCTAATCTGTGACCTAATTACTGCGTATATGCTAAAAAGAGTAAACATTACCCAACCAGTAAAATCAACATGGGGCAATTCAAAATTGAACTGCTCTTAACAGAGATTAGCTGGTAAGGTATGAGGAAAATACACCTGATAACCAGTTTGATTACTATTTAATTCGCATAGATGTACAAAAGCTGATAGATATTTTAGACCGAACCTGTTCTTCGCTGAAATCTGATCGGAGTATTTCCTGCTTCTGCTCCTCCTCAGGTGGCGGCCGCTGGTGGCGGCGGCGCCGGTTCCGGCGTCGGCGGCTGGTGCCGGGTTGGTGCGGCGGGGACATGTTACGTCTTAATTAGGTCGTGCTGCCAATTTTTTCTCTGATTCGGAGATTATAGGAATGGCAAATATATGCGTGTGGAACTGAGTATTACAAAATCGAATAGATGTAGGTATCCTATAAATAGAACTGTTGACCCGCGACCCGACCCATGATCAGGCCTTATCCGGATGGGCCGCCCATCAGCCATTGTTGTCACTTTTTGAATTTTCAATAATTTATTGTGTTCTAAAATTCCACTTGAATAATTCGTATTGAATTATTATGATTTTTTTTAATTCAATTCAATTTCTATACTCGTTGAATTTTAAACAATATATTCGTTCATTTAACTTTGTGAATCGTGTAATTTTAAAAAAAATATATATATAATTTTATGCATAATTTCTTCTTATAGATGCTATTTGAGTTGGAGACGAGTATCTCATATTCGAATTCGTACTATTCTAGTCATAGTCGAATTCGTACTATTATAATCTCATATAGATAGATGTGTTATTCGAGTAAAGTATCTCATTCTCAAACTCATGCTCGTCTATGGCTCGACCTGTTCGATAAACTCTACACCAAAGCCCAAAACCTCAATTCGTAAAGTAAAGAACATAATAGAGTTGTTGTGAATATATTTGTCTCAACTCGTTTAATAAAATAGTTTGATTAGTTGTTTGAGCTCGACTCATTCAATATACGTACGAGTCGATTGTAAACTTTTACGAGTCGATTGTAAACTTTTACGAGTTGAATCAAACTATGTTCGCGAATAATCCAATAACTGCTCAACTTGAGTACATTAAAATTCCTAGGACGTTGGCCTATGCAACCCTTGACCTTATTAGGAAATAAACACATTACAATCGCAATTTCTCGTTCTTAATCCAACATCCCTCCATACGAAGTAAACATGTCCCAATAACATAACATGTCCCAAAAAACTAAAGACATATCAAACAAGAAAAACAACAGAAACTTATACAAATATGAAGATCTCCCAAAACCATAAGGACATTAATTCGAATATTATTTAGCATAGGAATAGAAAGACATATAAATCATCTAAGAAAAAAACCCAACGAAACAAGAACAAGGAAACAAACTTCAAAGGACCAACTATTGTCTCAAAAACATACTACTTGACATGAAGAAAGCAAACACAAAATGGTAAGCATGATTAACACTAGAGCTTATGGGTGTGTATGTTGTAATAACAAACACTATTCGCTAGCTCGATTGTCTTCATTTTTCGAGTGACGAGATTGTACACCAAAATTGTCTTCCCACGCATATTCGGGCATAGGACCAACACCTCCAAGTACTTAACCCACCCGATCGGGATTATAGCCCCATCCGAATCCGTAGATTCAAATTTGCTCTCGTGATCAACCAACGAAAAATGTCCCGTCTTTTTCCACGCAAACGTGTCGGGACTCATCTCCCAAACCTCGAACAAATTGTTATCCCATTGTCTCAACAACGACAAATATCTTCCGGTCGACAAATAAGTGTTCTTAACAATAACATCGTCCGAGTCGTCGTCACGCGCGGGCCTGGGCGCGGGCTTGGGCGCGGGCCCTGGACTCTCCGTGAAAGCCTCCGTCTCCAAATTCATACTCAACACCTTGTCGTCTTTTGTACTCCAATGCACGAAACCCTCTGTTATCAGAGCCGGAGCAAACGCCGAAACCCTAGGCTCGGAAAGCACGACTCTCCACGACTCGTCGCCGACGGTTATTACATGAAACTCATCCTTCCTCTCGAGCGCGTACGGATCGGGCGGAAAGTAGACAACCACTTTGTGGCCCGCTGCTCCCCACGACTCCATTTGCAAGACTTTCGAGAGGCGGGCAAGAGGCGGGAGGTCGACAGTCTCGCCCGATGGGTGGTGCGTGAGGCGAACCTCGTTAGGCGAGGGGCCAGGCTTGAACGCGAGGCACGTTTCCGAGCTGTCGGTACGCGCGCCACTCGTCGGTTGGGGCCTCGTCTCGGTTGACTCGACCCGACCATCCCGGACGCCCATGGAGAACGCAGTTCGATTCTTTTTGAAGAGTAGGCCATAGCCGGTGTCGGTGTGGAACGCGCGGCGGCCGCCCTGCCTCGGGGCACGGAGCAAGATTTTGGACAGCAACATGACCTTCCTTATGGGATATATCAAAAACAACAAAGTGTTAACATGATCATATAATCAAAACCTTTTACATAATTGAAATTTAATTTCGAAGCAAGAGTTTGAACAGCAACAACTTGTAACGCTTCACTTTTGGGACATGCATATCAAAAACAACAAAGTGTTTAAATTATCATGTACAAGTAAATTGTTTCAATCAAACTCTAGAAGAACAACGCTATAACCGACTGAGCTACTGGATCAATCACAAGCAGCAGTTATCATATATAATAACAAATTTTGTCATTGTGATTATTAGTCAACTCAATTAAAGCACCCAGCGTCAAAACTCGAAACTCAACGGAACAACACCTTCTGTTAAAATTATTATCCTGCAAATATTTTTGGAAGTTAATGAATTACCTGAGTTGGGTCGTGGTGCGGCGGCGGCGGCGGCGGCGGTGGCGATGAGTGTATTGTGGCGGCGGGTTAGTTTGGGATTGGGAGAGTAGGGAAAGACAAATATATACGTGGGATTAAAGGAGTCCTATTCTTGGTCATTTTTTTCGATATTTTGTGTAGCTTGAGAAGCAAGTCAAAAATCTTAATATTATTATATCTTTAAACATTACTAGGTAGAGTGTATATTATCTGAAAATGAGTAATTTTGCAAGCGTGTGATTTTTTTTTATATAATTATTTAGGTTATACTTCAATTATAATATAATTACTAGTACAACGTCTGTGTATTACACGGGTGTTTGCTAAATTTTCTTAAAATTTAAAATTAATGAAAAAAAGTAGTTGAAAATTTAAATTATTTTCTATAAAAAATATATATTATTATATATTTTAGTATGGCACTTGTTATTTGTGTGATTTATAACCTGTGTTGTAATAATTTTTTTAACTTATAACATATAACTACATTAAACTTAAATATATTAATTGAGAAATAATTTTATTTTTCTAATTAATTTTAATAATTATTTTCTTACTACCGTAAATATAAATATAATTTATTTGTTTTATATATACAATAATCGAAACTCATCAAAAGATGATTAATTTGATATATTATATATGTAAACCGAAAAGAAATACAAAAGTTATCAACTCTTAAAATACATTTGCAATCCAATAGTTATAATAGGAAATTATATTAAAATACAATTAATAAATCTAAAATGATCATAAATAAATCAACATATTTATATTTATGGTGATCCGAACCTAAATATTTTTGGATTGCAATTAAATTAAAATAGATTCAAGTCAAATAATAAAGCATAAAATTTTGACACCTAGGATCTCGAAGCATGCGAGTCTGCTGCCTAACACATTCGAGAATTATATATAAGGGGATATTCAAACTATTTCAACTTTAAAAATTAAATAAATAAAAAGTCACAAATTGTACCATATAAGGGGATATTCAAACTATTTCAAATCAGAAATTCTATGGCACCACATGTGACATCATGTTATGGTGCCACAACATGATGTGGCACATTATGATTGGTGCCACAACTATCACACATCATGTTGTGACACCAATCATAATGTGTCACATCATGTTGTGACACTATAATATGGTGCCACAACATGATGTGGCACATTATGATTGGTGCCACAACTATCACACATCATGTTGTGGCACCAATCATAATGTGTCACGTCATGTTGTGGCACCAATCATAATGTGTCACATCATGTTGTGGCACTATAATATGGTGCCACATGTGGTGCCATAGAATTTCTGCAAATCAGAAATTTTATGGCACCACATGTGGCACAATATTATGGTGCCACAACATGATGTGACACATTCTGATTGGTGCCACAACTATCACACATCATGTTGTGGCACCAATCATAATGTGTCACATCATGTTGTGGCACTATAATATGGTGTCACATGTAGTGCCATAGAATTTCTGCAAATCATTATTGAAATGTGTAAGGAAAATTAAAAAAAAAATGTTTCGGGTTAATTGTGAAACAATTGAATACATATTAATTGGTAAGAGAAAAAAGAGAAATTACGGTAATTTTTCGCATAAGATATTGGGAAACACTACATCCTGCTACGGGACCATTCCATCGAAATTTGTAACAGTTAGATCATCGTTCAACCGTCGTGGATAATTGATCTAGTGGTTAAAACCCCAACGAAATGGTTCCGTAACGGGACCATAGAATCTCCCTTAGATATTAACTAGCAACAACCATTTATGAACTACTACTGTTGATACGCGTGCGCAATGCACGGTGTACAATACAAAAATTATTTTTTATTTAAATATTCCAAAATTATTTAAGATAATATGAAATTCTATTCTCCACAATATTATGTTCAGTAATAATATGATTTAGTTATTTACCATTATTATTAATTTCTATTTTTATATATATATTTTTTGTTTTGTAGTTTTTGACTATTTAATTTATAATTTTAGTATTTATAAGATTATAAAATATTATAAATGTATAAGATCATATGATAATTGTATACAAATTACTTGTATGTATTTATATAATTGTTGTTTATCACAGTCTTATAATTTTTTCAACAATTCATAATTTGCACATTGCTTGATAATTGAACGTTTAACCCATAATATTGATATATCTTACGCTATAATTATTTAGTGCATTAAATGGGAAAAACTTTGATAAATAA